TTTTTTATGTCCATTTATTAAACCGAAACGTCAAACATCGACATTTCATTCATTTTAAACAACATAATTGCATTTAAGGATTTTTGGTTTGTTTTTTCCAAATTTTTCTTCATTCTGTCGGATCTATATCCATTTACATTTTCTTACATATATATATATATATATATATATATATATATGTGTGTGTGTGTGTGTGTGTGTTTATTTGAACTTTATGAGTTTCCGACATTTAGCTTTCTATATTTTTTAGCCCTGAAAAACGGAAAAAATATTAGAATGCCATTAAATTTCCCTTGTCAGCCGTTTTCAATGAACGATCCTTTGAAAGTAAAGCTTCTCTAATATACACATTAATACACCATAGACTGCCCGTCGTTTTTCGACGTATAGTGGTCAAGCGGCTGAGTTCGTGGGCATCTACAGCCCAGACACCAGCACCTATAATTTGATTATAGTGGTGAAGCCTTTGTGCAGAACCAATCACACATTTTGAAGGGTCGAATACAGAGACCGCCCCGGTGCACTCCGACCCCAAACGATCATCCGCATATTTTGAATTCAGAGTTGTTCTTCTCCTAGACCAGTTGCTATCCAAGGCTATAGAACATAGTCTGCCATGTGATTTACCCATCGCTGGAGAGAGAAGAAGAGGATTCATACATTTCCCTAGGTTATTAGCCCATAAATGAATGTAATAGAATCGACTGGAATGGACAAAGTCCGACAATAATTGTAAGATGTCATTTATTTACATTGGATACGCCATGAGCAGATATGAACGTGAGAGAATCATGGAAGATTGTAGTTTAAAGACAGTAAAATCGACCTTGCTAACCGAACGCTCCTCTGTGGCCAAATTGATTAACGGCACGTCAGGCTATATGACGGTTCTATATAGGATACAGTTTCGATTCCTGTCGGAGGACGCATATTTTTTATGAAAATTTCTCGGACATTCAGGCCGGTAAATGTTTAATACTGTTTATTGTAAACAGAGCATTTACTTAAATACGGTTTAAAGACAGTAAAATCAACCTTGCTAATCGAACTTTCCGCTGTGGCCCAATCGGTAAAGGCACGTCAGGCTATATGACGGTTCCGTATAGGATACAGGTTTGATTCCTGTCGGAGGATGAATATTTTCTATGAAATTTTCTCGGATATTCAGGTCGGTAAATGTTGTTTAATACTCTTTATTATAAACAGAGTATTTACTTAAATATTTGTATCTATAAAAAGAAAGTATAAACATAAAAAAATGTCTTAAAATAATTGTCGGTCTTTTGTCCATTTCAAAAATATACATACATATATAAAATATATAAAAACTACATACATATATATTTTCAGAAATAAATTCCAAGAGGAAGAATCCAGGTAGAACTCAATGTCTAGGACAGAGTAAGGATAAAATAAAAAGGCTTAAACACTAATATTCCATGGTCATAATTTATTCCATTGGAATCGTAAATACGATCCAATTCATCAGACCTACAAATTCAAAAATTTTTTTGAATTTTTTTATTAAAATATATATTATTATATATATATATATATATATATATATATATATATTATATTTTTATTATATATATATATATATATATATATATATATATATATATATATATCTCTAAGAATCTAATCCATATAAGATCCAATTCATTTAAGTTATTACCTATAGCTTTCAATGTACATATAGGAAGGAAAGCTGAAATCTGCTCACCAAGATTTATTTGGGTGGAGGCATTTTTTTTTTTTGTCAGTCTGGGAAGATTTCAGACAACTTCATAAATATGTGCATATTTTAACAAAATTGCAAATATATATATATATATATATATATATATATATATATATATATATATATATATATATATATATATATATATATATATATGTAAAGAGAGAGAGAGAGAGAGAGTAAGGAATTTATTATTGCTTTTAAACAATTCTTGCGCAAGCACACGCTTCAGCTTGAGGGTTTTGAAGAGGTAGTGAGTTCGTGACATTTCGGACAACATGTATAATAAACTACACATTATATAGAGACGATATGAATACATCTACGTCGTAAGACTTTTATAATCAGTCGTAAACATTAGTCAAAAGCAATTGATGCCAACATCTATCAATCTATCTGTCTATTGAGGGACGAGCGAATATAAAGATAGAGCAAATTTATATATATATATATATATATATATATATATATATATATATATATATATATATATATACAGAATCAGATATATATGAAAAGAACAGAGTGGAGAAACAGAATATCTACATAGATATGAGTTGAATGCTGGAGTCATGCAGATACTTACGTATATATATACAAATATAGACACAAAAATCTATCTATATATTTATCTTTTGAGGGATGGGCTGATAGAAAGATATGAAAAAATTTAGACATATATGAACAGAATCATATATATATATATATATATATATATATATATATATATATATATATATATATCTACTTTGAAAATCTACCACGATTCTAACTGTAGAAGTCATAACATAATTTACCTCCTAGAATGCACACTATGCCAGAAACAATATGTAGGAAAATCTGAATGGCCCTTTCACTACAGAATTAATAATTATCGCAATCGAATTAAGTCGACTCCCCACGAAAAATTATCACCTGTAGAACAACATTTCCGTCTAGAAAAACATGATTTTAAAACCCATGCCAAATTCACTATAATTGAGAGAATAGAAAAGTTCAGAGCAGATAACATTAGAAAGATTTTAGAGTTCCATGAAAATAAGTGGATACAACGTCTAAAAAAACACAATACCCAGCCGGGCTAAATCATAAATTTAACAATATAGATAGTACTAATATATAACCCTACAAATCGAAACCTACCCACATTTCTCACCCACAAAGACAGACATGCTTACGGAGGTGGAGGCCTCACACTTATACACACACACCCACATACACACACACACTTACACACATCATACAAAATGATAACACACACCCAATAAGAACCAAATAACACACACACACACACACACACTTAACAGAGACACATCCACCCTCCAGGACCAATAAAACTGCCAAACTGACCAAGGGAATTCAGGGAAGCATAGATCTATCCAGCTCTTATCTCAAATAACAACTTAAAAGAGACTGTTTGACCAACACAAGGAATGTTAAAAGATTCATGTTAAAAAGATAAAAAAATAAAAAAACAAATGAAAACTACAGACAAAAGTTCATTTTCTCCATCAAGATATTCATTTCTGTAGTTCACTGCTACCAGAAAGCAGAAATATTTCTTCCACTGATGATGGCCATTTTGGCCGAAACTCGTCGAGGAATCTAAATGAAATAATAATAATAAAAACGAAAGAATGTTAATCTACAACCCAGTGTGTCTAAAGATTTTAATTTTTTAAATATTTTTTTATTGTTCAATTTTAAAATTTTTATTTTTTATTGTTTATTATATATATATATATATATATATATATATATATATATATATATATATATATAAAAAGAATAGGGTAAACAGGAACAAAATATCTAGATAAATATGAGTTTAATGCCGTAGACATACACATTATAATACATATATATATCGATACAAAAAAAAACATCTATCTAACTAGCCATCAATCTATCTTATAGGGATATATATATATATATATATATATATATATATATATATATATATATATATATATATATGAAAAGTATAAGGTAGATAGGAACAAAATATCTAGATAACTATGAGTTTAATGCCGTAGAAATACAGATACTTATGTATATACATAGAAATATGGATACAAAAAATCTATCTATCAGTACATATATATATATATATCCTAATCTCTGTTTATAATCTATCTATCTATCTAAGGTCAGCTTCTATCTATCTATCTATCTATCTATCTATCTATCTATCTCACCCAAAACATTTCATATTTTATCAGTCATTCTCAGAAAGAGTAATCTGAATTTCTATGACATATGAAATGTACATTCACATCGCCCGAAAGGATTTATAGTGCAGCATAAATCTTCATCAATTTATCTGTCATAATCAGAGTGACAGCGATTTACTTTTAGATTTCTTGCATTTTTTCCTGCTCAATCCTTTCTAGTGTTCCTCGATTCGTTTGTTTTCCGGATGATGTAACAAGGAAAATAGGTATTTGCGGAAGCGTTACAGGTGATAGCACCCGAACATAGCATATTCACATTGTTTCGTTGATACTGTAATATATATATATATATATATATATATATATATATATATATTTGAAAAAAAAATATACTGAAAAACAAACCAAAATCCTAATATGCGATTATGCTGTTTTTTGTGTTTAATAAAACGTCAGACGTTTTCGGTCTAATAGACCATCTTTCAGGACATATTCATAAAACATAATTAACATAGACCATATTCAATTCAACATGTCCATCGTCTTTTCATGTTGAATTGAATATGGTCTAATTTTAATTATGTTTTATGAATATGTAGCTGAAGATGGTCTATTAGACCGAAACGTCCGACGTTGACATTAAACATTAAAACGCATATTAGATTTTGTTTGTTTTTTCCGTATATATTTTCTTCATACTGTCGGATCTATATCCATATATTCGCTTATAAATATATATATATATATATATATATATATATATATATATATATATATATATGTATGTATGTATGTATATATATATATATATATATATATATATATATATAAAATATAAATATATATATATATATATATATATATATATATATATATATATATATATATATATATATATATAAATGAATAAAAATATGGATAAATGTACGTGTAAATGTGTTCACATACAAATAAATACATATATCCTTTGGTGTAAGAAAAACGGTGCTCAATACTAAATAATAGATCTATTAAGTACATATTAGTAAAAAATACATAAAATCCGACGTCATATATTAACCAAACTGTAAGTAACAAATTCTTCATAAAAAGATAGATAGATAGATAGATAGATAGATAGATAGATAGATAGATAGATAGATGCATATGAAGAGACAGTGATAGATAGTTAGAGAGATAGAAAGAAAAGAGACTGGGATATATATATATATATATATATATATATATATATATATATATATATATATAGTGGGTACATCCTATCGGTTAGCGCAAATCGTTTCTTAAAATTATAAAAGATTAGCAAAGCGGTTGTTGGATTATCTGAAAATAATCTTAAGCCGATATATAATAGCTAAAAATATAACTCATGCCATTTCTGCAACTTCTGTCAGGCTGAAAGAGGGTTTTCTGCGACGAACTTCATTTAAAGAAATCGTCTTCAAGTTAAAAATGTGGCAAATCTTCTAGTCACAAATTTGGTATGCCTTGAATTGGATCTTTGGAACTGCAGCGATTCTGTTCGAATGCTGCTAAGAAGCCATAATACAGACAGATGGCACTCGAGTTAAAAAGCATCATACGATGAGATCAAAATTTCAATCTGGAAATATCTTAATAAATAAATATTTTCTATTAAGTTATTCAAATGGTTTTAATTCTTTTTTGAAGCAATAAAGTGATTTGTTTGCATTCTCAGACTGAAAAGAAATAAGCAGAATAGGTTCTTAAAGATCACCTGCCATTATAGAATCGGTTCCTGGAAATTTGGGATGCCATTTACTCGAGAACAATTCTCGTGCCTCTGAATATGAAGACACTTGGTTTTCAGTATTACACAACGCTCGCTCAGTATACCATCTCCGAGTCTTGGAAGCTGTTTTTTATAAAGTGTCATCAGCCTAGCATGTGTAGAACATTTTTTGAGTTCCTTGAAGTTGTTGAAGGGTTTGTGAGTGTCTTTTTTCCATTTTACACTCTTGTGGAACTTGTTATTTTCACACCCCTCCTTGTTCAATTTTAATTTGGTGTAATTAAAATTTCTCTTTTAATTGCGCTCCAACTTTCCCTCCTCCTTTTCTTTATTGAGTGTATTCATTTGTATTCCAAGTCGCCAAAGAATACCTTTGAAAAAGTGTTGGCCGAAAGGTTTCATAAGGTATGACGTCTGTGTTGTTTAAAGCTACATTTATATATATACACACACACACATGTATATATATATATATTGTGTGTATTTAGGCAGCATTTTTTCATTCATACATGATTCATTAAATAATATAGACAAGTGTTGTCTATTTATTTTATGTAAATTCTTTTCATAACGGTGCGATTTTCGTTTCCAGCGTCTTATATGCACGTCTTTATTGTTGCTTGGAAATCATCCATGTAAACAATCACAGACTATCATCACTGTCTTGTCCGTATATTGCTTAATATGTTGTACAGTAATTGACATCTCTGATAATGGTTTATGTAAGCCTAAAGCTTAGATTGGATTAGAAAAATATGTATCAATATGGTGATTTTCTTACTTCGTTTAATGATAATGTTATTAAGCTTATCAGACGTTATGAAAAGAATTTACATAAAATAAATAGACAACACTTGTCTATATTATTTAATGAAACATGTATGAATATATATATATATATAAATGGTGGTACTCGTTTGTAAAAAGAGCCGGATTACACCTGAGATCTGTTTAGTTAAAAACCTAGGTAGGTTTGCCTGGCTCTTTAGGGATCTTATCTCATATATATATATATATATATATATATATATATATATATATATATATATATATATATGTGTGTGTGTGTGTGTGTGTGTGTATATATATATATATATATATATATATATATATACATATTTTGTGTGTGTTTGTGTATATAGGAGACACGGTGGAGTAATGGATAACCGGTCGGATTGAGCCAGTCGATTTCGAATTTCGGTTGAATCCTTTGTATTCATTTAGGTGCTAATACTTTTCTCCCCTCCCCCAGATATAGGTAAAGAACAGGACAGAATGGATTATATAGCCTTGAGTGGCAACCAGTCTAGGAGAAGGACAAATCTGCATTCAAAAAACTTATGAAAAGGACAAGGAAAAGTGATAAACTAAAGATAAAAACCACGACCGGGAATGAGATGTGGATCTTGTAGGCAGGCCAGGGAAGGATCTATAAAGAAGGGCCCAGCGCCGTAGTTGTTAGACAAAGACGTAAATGCCCCACGGTGGATGACTCTACAGTATTCTATTATTGTGGCAGGTTAGGAAAGGAGGTGAAATAGGTTTCAGATGAAATGTTTACGAAATATTTTAATATTTGTGAATGTGCATCGGACCTTTCCCAGTTTTTTTTGTTCTGGCAACGTGCGACGTTGTAATTCGAAGGCGCATTTGAATAACGAAAGCTAAGGAAAATATGAAGAAACGGCAAAATTCCATTAGAAACAAAGAAAAGTAATGCTTAATTACGTAGTGTACGCTGCACAATCTTCTCACCGATAACGAAGAAACATGAAGCAACGGAAATGTGGTCCTACAGAAGGATGCTGAGAATAGCATGGACCAAACATATGAGCAACAACGAAGTTTTAAAGAGAATGAAAACAAAAAAAGAGACATTTACTCAACATCAGGAAGAAAGAGATGATATTTCTGAGGTTAA